CGACTTGTAGAGTTTATCGCTGGTCCTGGTCACGACCATGACCAGTCAGGCACTTGCTTTGGCCCTGGTGCAATATGAAGCCAATCTGGAGGTGGCAGCATAAATTTCAAAAATCGCGGGGATCTGAACCATCAACCCATCCTAGTCGTCCCAACTCAAAGTCCTTTTTGCTATCCATCACACCATTCGTCGCTGCCAGCAGTTCAACTGCGCAGAGCACATGAGAAACTTCTCCGCACGTTTCAACTTGTTTCAACATGTTGAACATGTTGGAACGGCTTCCTTTTTTTTGCTACTGTTCACGTTATTTTCAATGCGCAGTCAACTAGCGCCTTCCACTGTGCGGACAGTCGACGCCATGAATTAAATAAGCGACGTTTATTGGGGTAAGACGCCAATTTCTGACAAAATCATTTTCACTCCTTTTTCGGCATTCAGAAGGCCATTTAGCGAGAATGGACCATAGTTCTGTACTCAGTGCTCATGCCCCTACACTATGCAAAAAACCATATCAAAAAGCTTTTCACGCCCTGGTAGGCCTTCCTTGTAAGAATCATTTTCAAGAGGTTTCCACGAACGCAATTTTGTGAAGGCGGCAATCAGTCAATCAAAGCTTCCAGTAAAACAGGGTAGATTTACACGGAAGGCATACGCTCCAACACAATGGCTTATTTCAGCATACAGGGTGCGCCATAAATATGATTACAAAAGAATTGAGCTACAGAACCCGCAGTTCTCATTGATGCATGGTGAATCCATGTGAGTTATTTACTATGCGTCGCATCTACAAAACGAACACACAACCATCTTATATAACCATTCCCTGCACCGATTATAGCTAGGAGACGCTTCGGCTTCTGGCACGAGTTTCTTGAGAAACTCCAGCCCAGGCTCTTTTCAATGATTTCTCAGGAGCAGCAACAATGATGCGTTTGGAAGCGCAGGCTTTCCTCTCCAGTATAGACTATATCCAGCGTCCCATATCCAGGAAACTCGTGAGAGGATTGGAAGCTGTGATAGAATCGCGGAAATTCCCTAAGCAACAGTCTTGATCCTCTCCCTTTCGTGAGCGAGTGCGCCTGGTTTTCAAAACGTATCCCTAGAAAAATCTTTGACCTTCAGCCGCATCCTTTCGGGAAAACCCTTCTTAGAGAGGTTTGGATTAAGTTTGAACTTTTCTCGACCAAAATTTGCGATATCACTCTGATGGTAAAGATTCTAATAGCTCAAACCATCATAAAAGAGGGAAAATGGCTATGGAGGGCGATCTGATTCTTCTCGGCGACTTCAGCACCCGTAGTGTGAAATACACATATACTCTGGGATCTCAACATTTCTCCTACGCTGAACACGCTTCGGTCAAGCAAAGGTTTGTTGAAGCGCGTGCCGCGCGCGAGTAGTGCACAGAATTCGTTTTTTCTCTACAGCTTCTTCACTTCAAGGAGCTTATGAGGCTTTCGAATTTTACTCCGTTACAACTGTATTTGCTCTGGGTAGACTCTTCCCATCGGATTAGAACATACAAACAAATCAGCAGTCGTTTCTCTCATGTATCTGAAGGTTCCGCAGCGTACTGCTTCCCAAGCTATGGTACTCAGAAAAGGGGTAGTATGTGAGGCAAGACGACCGTTTTAAGATTTGTCGTTGACCTGTCTGCGCATCGCGTTTCAAGAGACTGCCATGTGGTAAATGTTGAAACGAGGAGCGATTCCGGAAAAGGATCCACCGAATGCGCGCAAAGACGTGACGGTCGGTGGGTGTCTGCGGGGCTCCACCGTTTTCCGAAATCTGACGACTCGAAAGCACCAAAGTAGGTATGTGACCTAAGGTATATCATAAACATAAGGGCAGGTGCAGATTTGAAGAAACCCTCCAAACAAGGATATTACGAAGGTTCGAAAAGTTGTTGCCATATTTATGGCGCACCCTGTATAAGAAAAGTCGAATTACCTTGCTATATATCGGGCTACGTGTGTCCGGTGGCCCGTGTGTATATGTGTAGGTGTTTACATGTGTTTTTCGTGTGCGTGTATCTGTTGGTTTGTTGTGTTGGCATGTATGTGTGTTGGTGTGTATGTGCTACATGTGCATGTGTGTATGTTTGTGTGTGGGTATATATGTGTGTATGTGTATATGAGTGTGTGTGGTTGGTGTGATATAGGAGTGTAAGTGGATGTGGTACTGGTACTGTGTGTATGGGAGTGCGTGTATGTGTGTGTGCGCGCTTGGTCCAAAATCTGTACCTCCTTTCTACTCTACCACAGCGTCCAAAGTGGGTGTGGGGGACAGGCCATCTTCACATGAAAAAGAGTAGAGCGCGGAGCCAGCCGGGTCATACGACTGCTATTCCATAAAGAGCAAGAATCTCAAAAAAGACTCATTCATTCAGCAATAGTTTTTAGCTGAAAGGAACGAAAGGGGCTCGCCCATCATTAGCCAGAGAATTGAAAATCGACTTTCCATGAATACTCAAGCCCTATAAAAACTCTATCGAAAAACGATTTAACGACCACGACCAAAACAGCATTGGATATCATTCGCTCGTCGCGGTGACTTTGGCGACTTTTTACAAATTTAGAGACATTCTTGGTCTTTCTCGTAAACGAGTAAAGCATACGATTCAGTAACGGCGAAACACCCTGACTGCGCGTGGTGCAGAACCAACCGTAAGGTTCAATAAGGGAAGGATACTAGGTCGCAGTGGCCATTCAAGATGAAATGTATACCGACGTGAGCGTTTTTAAACGCTGATTCCAAATCTAGGTTCCAAAACTGCGGAATAATTCTGGGAACAAAGTTATGAGCCCGTTTTCCCTGGGTGCTGCTTGTATAGCGACCCGAGCAGTTCCGAACATGCAGCGATGGCCTCTTGAGAGGACGATGGATTGGTAGGCGCGACACGGAGATGCACTTGCTTGTTTTGCTTTTATAAAAAAAAGTGTCCTAAACGCTTGCAAAACACACTTACGTATCATATAGACCACTTACTGCCCTATTTCATATTTATGTAGCACCAGAAATGCCAATACACGGAACGAATACGGGTGCACTATAAGTCCAGCAGGGAAGAGCTGCGAAAGCTTTGCGCAAAATAGAGTTGCGAAGTTTCTTCGCAAGATCTGGAGGATTCGACAGAATCTCACGATCAAAACATTCAATCGATCAAAGTGCTCCCAACATATTACCAGCCATATGCCCAAAAGCGGTAAGCATCTGTTTCCCCTCTGAATTAAAAACCAAGGTCAGTACAACCCACATGATGAGCAAAGAACTTATGCTGGATTGGGTCAGATAATGCGTCGGATCAACAGATTTGCCTTCAATCCTGATGATCGCCGACTCATGGAGCTCGTTGAAGGACCATGAAGCGACTCATGGTGTCTTGCCAACTGGCAAGGAGGTGAATGGGCCCAACATTCCACCTAGGTTAACCTCCCAAATTCAGCCTCTCG